CGTTTTAGGGGGCTTAGGGACCTCTGTGGGGGATTGGGGAGGGGAGGAGGACTTTATTGGGGGAGGCTTGGGGGTCCCTTGTGGGTTTTGGGGCTCTTTATGGGGGATGCTGGGGTCTCTGAAAGTGTTTTGGGGTCCTTATATGGGATTTTGGGGGCCCTCAGGGGGATTTGGGATCTTTATACGGGATTTTGGATTCCTTGAAGGATTTTTGGGCTGGACTTGGGGACTCCCAAAGTGTTGTTTTGGGGTTTCTCAAGGGATTTGGGGGTTCCCCAAAGGGTTTTGGGGTTCCTCAATGGGTTTTGAGGTTCCCCCAATGATTTTTGGGTTCCCCAAAGGGTTTTGGTCTCTCCTGAATGGGTTTTAGGGTTCCTCAATGGGATTTGAGGTCCTCCAAAGGGTTTGGGGGTTCCCCAAATGATTTTGGGGTCCTCCAAAGGGTTTTGGGGTTTCTCATTGAGTTCTGGGGTTCCTCAGTGGGCTTTGAGGTTCTCCGAAGGGTTTTGAGGTCCTCCAAAGGGTTTTGGGGTTTGGGGGTTCTCCAAAGTGTTTGGGGTTCCCCCAATGATTCTGGGGTTCCCCGAAGGCTTTTGGTGTCTCCTCAACGCGTTCATGGTTTCCCCAATGGGTTCTGGGGTCCTCCAAAGGGTTTGGGGGTTCCCCAAATGATTTTGGGGTCCTCCAAAGGGTTTGGGGGTTTCTCGTTGTGTTTTGGGGTTCTTCAGTGGGTTTTGGGGTGCTCCAAAGGGTTCTGAGGTTCTCCGAAGGGTTTTGAGGTCCTCCAAAGGGTTTTGGGGTTTCTCGTTGTGTTTTGGGGTTCCTCAATGGGTTTTGAGATGCTCCAAAGGGTTTTGGGATTTGGGGGTTCTCCAAAGTGTTTGTGGTTCCCCCAATGAGTTTTGGGTTCCCCGAAGGCTTTTGGTGTCTCCTCAACGCGTTCATGGTTTCCCCAATGGGTTCCGGGTTCCCCCCCGCCTTTTTGGGGTTCCCGTCCCTTTTGGGGTTCCCGCAGTTGATGCGCACGGCGGCGCTGGACCCACGCCGCAATTTCCTCTTTGCCTTCCACCCCCACGGGGTTTTGGCCGCCGGAGCCTTCGCCAATTTCTGCACCGAAGCCACGGGATTTGGGGTTTTGTTCCCTGGGCTCCGGCCCCACCTCCTCACCCTGCCCTGCTGGTTCCGACTGCCCCTGTGGCGCGAATACGTCATGTGTGGAGGTGGGGGCACCCCAAAAGGTGGGGGGTGGGGGGCACAAAGGGCTTTGGGGTCAGGGAATCCCAATAGGGCCCCAAAGTTGGGGGAGTTGGGGCTCTAAAGGGAATTGGGGTCAGGGAATCCCAATAGGGCCCCAAAGTTGGGGGATTTGGGGCTCTAAAGGGCATTGGGGTCAGGGAATCCCAATAGGGCCCCAAAGTTGGGGGGATTTGGGGTTGAAAAGGGAATTGGGGTCAATGAAATCCCAATAGGGCCCCAAAGTTGGGGGAGTTGGGGCTCTAAAGGGCATTGGGGTCAGGGAATCCCAATAGGACCCCAAAGTTGGGGGATTTGGGGTTCCAAAGGGCATTGGGGTCAGGGAATCCCAATAGGACCCCAAAGTTGGGGGGATTTGGGGCTCCAAAAGCCATTGGGGTCAGGGAATCCCAATAGGACCCCAAAGTTGGGGGGATTTGGGGTTCCAAAGGGAATTGGGGTCAATGAAATCCCAATAGGACCCCAAAGTTGGGGGGATTTGGGGTTGAAAAGGGAATTGGGGTCAATGAAATCCCAATAGGGCCCCAGAGTTGGGGGATTTGGGGCTCTAAAGACCATTGGGGTCAGGGAAATCCCAATAGGACCCCAAAGTTTGGGGGATTTGGGGCTCCAAAGGCCATTGGGGTCAGGGAATCCCAATAGGACCCCAAAGTTGGGGGGATTTGGGGTTCCAAAGGGCATTGGGGTCGAGGAAATCGCAATAGGACCCCAAAGTTGGGAAGAGTTGGGTTGAAAAGGGCATTGGGGTCGAGGAAATCCCAATAGGACCCCAAAGTTGGGGGATTTGGGGTTCCAAAGGGCATTGGGGTCAGTGAAATCCCAATAGGACCCCAAAGTTTGGGGGATTTGGGGTTCCAAAGGGCATTGGGGTCAGTGAAATCCCAATAGGACCCCAAAGTTGGGGGGATTTGGGTCTCTAAAGACCATTGGGGTCAGGGAATCCCAATAGGACCCCAAAAGTTGGGAGGGTGGGGGGGGGTCTGGGGGAACCAAAGGTCCCAGGACCCCAATAGGACCCCAAATTTTGAGGTTTTAGGGTGTCCTAAAAGGCATTTGGGTCTCTAAATCTCAAAAAGACCCCAAAGTTGTGGGGTTTCAGGGGGCTCTGGGGGGACCAGAGGGCATTGGGGTCAAGGAAATCCCAATAGCACCCCAAAAGTTGGGGGGGTTGGGGGGGTCTGGGGGGGTCAAAGGCCATTGGGATCAAGGAAATCCCAATAGACCCCAAAATTTGAGAGGGTTGGGGGGTCTGGGGGGGTCAAAGGGCACTAAGGCCCCCCCCCCCCCAGGTCTGGTCTCCTCGGAGCGTAGCAGCCTGGAGTTCCTGCTGAGCCGCCCCGGGGGGGGGCACGTGGCCGTCATCGCCGTCGGGGGCCCCCCCGAATCGCTGGACGCCCACCCTGGGGGGCTGCGCCTGCAGCTTCTGGGGCGCAAAGGCTTCGTCCGCATCGCGCTGCAGCACGGGTACGGGGCCCCCACCCCATAACCGCCTGTTATCCTATAACGCCCCCCCACTGACCCCATAACCCCCCC